AAAAAATACTAATACTTATGCAGCGTATTCCTTGATAAATAATGGCGGATTAAAAAGATGTATCTAAAAGATAATTTGAAACGTGCACGAATATAATCATTAATTTATACAGTACATTGCACTTAGTTCAACGAAGGATAAAATGTGCTACATAAACGTCATTAGCCACGGCAAGATAAATTCGCATTACTTTATACAAGTATTCCAGCCAATTATCCATTGCGCGCGTTTTAATAATTCTCATAATGACGTTACTACGCAGTTATTACCTAAGAGTAATTGTGCTTACAATGAGTTATTTTAGCATAATACAATATACTGTTTACGATGTAAAGATTAAAAATCACTTATTTTATTTATTATTCATTTATGATTTATTTATCACTTGTCTGGATTTTGTGTATAACGTGTTACGATGTTATTGATATTGAAAGAGCGTTTTTCGGTGTTATTCACGTAGACAGAAAATGCTAAAGACTGTCCCGAGGCAATCCTAAATTGAGAATACATTGAAGAAATGATAAGAAAAGTGTGTGATACATTTGATATATTATCAGCTTACAGCTGAGACGAACGATCGAGACGTCTTCACTCTCTTACTGCTTGAGACTTCCGGTAGCGCAAAAAATGTTACCATGACGTGTAATTTGTTTACGTGTCGCTTAACTCCCTCGCTTTTCTTGGCACTATTATCTCGCTTGAAAGCTTTGTAGAAAATAACGCCGTATATATTGTCACTGTATACTTATTTTTTTTTTTTTATTAGAGACCTCGATGTGCTCTCTTTTTTGTTCGGGCCATCTCTTGCCGAGTTGCGCATAAAGATTAAATCTGTAAAAGTTATCAAAATCTGCACTGCTATCAAAATTGCCATAAACTGTATTATGCTTGTTGTATCGTAAAAACTTTTCATCTTTTTTTCATCCTAGTGTATGTGCAATCAAATTTTTTGAAAACTGCAAAACCAAGCACGGACCAAAGTCGACACGTGATCGGTGCGAAAACTAAAAATTGCGAGAGCACGAGATTAAATTGCCTAACATGTCAGAGTATATGAGTACAGGATAACGTCAACCACGAAATTGTTTTAACTGAGAAGTTTCATATTTTTCGAGAAAAAATGCACTTGCATTTTATTCAAAATTTATATCTTCATAATATTTGACGAAGCAATCACTTTATAATTCGTCGATTAACAATAAAATCTTGCCATGAAAAAAATAAATATGGAGTGTACAAATGAGGCTTACGAATCACTTCTCTTACGAAGCACTTACAAATCTTTACTTTCTTTCAAACGGCGTATGAAATTTCGATCGAGTGTTTCAAGAGGAAGCTGACCACGGAAAAATATGGTTCTGATACGTCGTTCATCATTATCGACAGTATCATTGATCATCGTGGAACGCCGGGGAAACTGAAGGAAGCAATCAGCGGGGACATTCGATCTATCTCACCGACAGACTAGGCGTGTTCTTGTGTCTATGCCAGTGACAAACACTGAAAATACTGTTAACAATAATGAAATTCTCTACAGCACGAGTTAAACGTTGAATGGTACATTCGTGTAATCGGTCATTTCTCTGATCATATCCAATCGTAAGTATTTATACGTCAGGAGAAATGATAATTCTGACAATGAGCAAATAATGGAAGCGCAATATATGCATATTAGAAATATACATATATTTAATCGTGGTATAAAACGTCGCGCTTTTAAGGTGCCATTAAAGTTTCGAGCGGGTCGGTCCTGATAACCAAGTTAGGTGCTAAAATGTACACAGTAAAGAGTAATGTAGCAACGCTGTATATATCTATGTATGTGCAACGAAAGTGTGGTTGGTCAGATATAAGTGATAGCTTCGATAATGCACCTCATTTTATGACAAGCAGTGCATGGCACTGATTACATTTCTTCATTATATTTCTTGAACAATTGCATTTCTAAATTATATTTCTATGTAATGTGTGCAAAAACACTAGGTACGTACTTTTATGTATTCAATTTGCAAAGAAAGTATGGGCATAAAGATATAATACCTCTCTGTCAGAAAATATATATTTAGATATATCTTCAAAATATAATGCAATTTTTTAAAATGCAAAAAATTAAAGTTAGTATACCAAGATAAGATAATACTATTAAAATATTATCGAGCAAAATAAAGAAACTAAACTAGTTTATTTAAATATGTGGACAATATATTTACAAATTAATTTTCAGTTTTATTTCTTCAAAACAACAACTAAAATAATAATATAAAAAATAAAATGTAAATTGTAACTCCAAATGTAATCATACGATTCGTTTTTATTAATAAAATATTAGTAGATAAAAAATTAAATAACTAAAAAATAATTTGCGAGTTTATATACATATATAAATCTAAAGCACAAACATATTTGCAAAGTTTGCTATATCATTCAATTTATAAAACTTAAACACATTTTGTTAATACTGAAATATGCTGAACAAACAAATCTCTAGGGAGTTTAACAATACAAGATATATTTCCTAAATTCGCCCGACAATGACAGGAAAATATCTACTTGTCAACAACGAAAATAACAAGTGCAGCGTAGCGCGTACAATTTTATTATAAATATCGAATATGTCATTTTATTTACAAAGCTTATTACAAAGCTAAATAAAAAAGAATAAAGAGCAATAATAAAGTAAAAATAAAACAATAATAATAATTTAATCAATTATGTTTCGTAAAAAGAAGTTATAAAATCTACTAATATTATATAAATATAAAAATTTTTACAATAATTTTCTCAATAAAATATACTCACATTTCTGGCAAATTAATAATTCTCTTTACTTCGCAAAGGATATAATGTGAATTGAGAGAATTATATATCTAGATCTTACAATTAGAGTATGTGAGAATATCCGCGCATCCGAATATTCGGATTTGATAAGCCAGATTTGACAGATTCGAGTAAATGGATGTAACAGATTCAATGAGATCTAAATTCATCCTATTCCGAAATTCAGTTTCTCGTATTGTTAGACAAATTATAAAAAGCTAAGTGGATTACTTTACTGCGCATCAGAAATGCGTTAATTAAATTAATTAAAACTATTTCTTAACAAAATTGTTCTGAATTGATTACAATTTTCTTCATACTGTAAGTGTATAAAAACGCAAATTTATTATCATAAATTTGTAGAATCCGGGAAACCGGATTTTGCGACAAATCCGGATCTTGTATCTTGAATTTCCGGATTTCAAATCCGGATTCATAATTTTTATTTAAGTACCTGAAATAATTATGGCTATTCTGTTAAAAGACATTTCAGTAGAAACCAGAACCTTGTGTATTTAAAGGAAAGATAATTGTATAAATTTTCTTATAATTACGAAATATATTTGGTAGAAAGATCTGAACATCTAACTTGCACTTAGTCGAAAAGATAATATTAGGACAATATAGAAATATATATCGTAAAGATTATGTATGCGTATCATGTGTGTAAGAGATACGAGTTTGCGTAAGAGATTGCGGCTCTTCTCATATTGAACATAGAAAATATCGCGGCACAAAGGTGATAAAATGTGCAAACCAATGAGCGTGCAAAAAAGCGTGCGTTATATCAGTGCTTTCCAATTTTATCGGTGCGAACATACTTTATTAAGTTATATGTTCGATTTCGCTTAACGACTAGTGGGAATTGGATTTGTGTGAGATTCAGTGCTCTTCTTTGCTCTGTATAACTTTTTCTATTCTCATTGATAAAATTTTGAATGTTAGATCAATCTCCAAACTTCTAGATCTCTTGAAGAAAAAAAAGAAAATTACGTACAAATAAATTTTTTATGTCTCTCCTGTCAAAGTATTGTTGCAATTGTTTTGTTAGAATAAATGATTAAATAAATAATAATCCTTAAGGTTGCCAGTAATAATTGTTTAAAGTCGACCAGACTGGCAATAATTTATTATAAATAATTATTTGTTTCGGCTGTCATTGCAGCCCTTTTCAAGTACATCAAATTTAAAACAGTAAATCAACTTCTATGCAAACTACCGACAATGTTAACGCTTGTTTTGATGAACAATGTAAGACTGAAAGCAGTCTTACATTGTTCATCAATTGTCGGTAGTTTGCATAGATTGAAATTTGATGTACTTGAAAAGGCTGCAATGATTGTTGTTGTATTTCAAATAATTATTTATAATAAATTATTGCCAGTCTGGTCGACTTTAAACATATAAAATGATTAAATTATGCGATTTGTAGATGTTTGCGGTCGAGTTTAAGGAGCTATTGAGAACCTCTATGTGATGCAATTGTTCGCGCGGCCAACCGAAACGTATCTGATAAAGAAAAAAAAAAAAAAAGAATAGTAGAAAATTGTTGAGATCTGGGATCGCGCGCGATATCCTCTGGGAAAATAACTTCAACAAACAGGCAGTGACATTTTCCAACGGTGCATTGTGCTTTTCTTACAAAGAGATTATACCTTAGAAGCCCGGCATTGTGCACCTTTAATCTACTGTTTAGGGGAGAACTATGGGCAAACGTATCCGTGGCATAGTTTCGCAAAGTCGCATGCGATTAAAATTGGAGTCCGTTCAAACAATCAGCCTCTTTTATAATGCAACAAACCTTGCACTGTTGTCGACCGCGGAAGGGGTAGCATTCTCTTTTGTAACCGACTATTCCCTTTTATCTTTTACAACCGCCTGAGCAAATATTAAACTATTCGACCTCTTTCCCCGTTTCTCTTCTTCTTCTCTCTGTTACTCCTACTATCAACGCAATGTTTGCTATTGCATATTATCACTTTGAATAGCGAACAATCAGCCTGGAGAGACACAATATTGTGCAATTAAAATAATCATTTACGAGTCGTAACCGCATGTTGCACTCAATGCCAGAGAAATTAACACATTAAATGAAGTTACCGATAATAGCGATTTATCGGTTGGTAATCGCCGCAATTATTGGCATTTAATTGTCTCTCTTCTCTCCCTTTTCAACCCCATACCTTTTCATCGTTCGATCCCTGTCACCAATCCCTCGTCGACTAACAACTTTCTTTCTTTTGTTCTACTTAAATGTCCAAGCTTTTCAATCGTCGACTTCTGTGTGGAGTGGATAACGAAGAAATAAGAAAGTTCCGACAAATTAGCATTATCTAGCGCCAAAATGCGGGATTAATCAGTTCCCATCATCGGGTACTTCTCCCTCGTTCCTATTCGCGTTTTTCTCAACGAACTTCTTTCGACGAGCGACCTGTCCAGTTATGGCGCGTAATCTTGTAAAATACGATGTAACCGAACTCTCTCTCTCTTCCACTTTTTTTTTCAGCCGAGTGTCGGAAAAACGCGCTTCTCGAGCGAAGAGAAATACTGGAGACGCAAGAAACAACAGAAACGAAATTTCTCCGCGAAATTCTTTTCCTCTTCAATGTAATTGCTCGTCCATTTTTACGACACTGTCTCACAGGTTATTATTACTTTCAATAAAAACGGAAGTGCACAAAGTGTCAATAATAATCCTGACATAGCCGAATATAAGAGACCTTCGAAAGTTCCAAATGTCATTGCAATTTTGATAAAACATTGTTTTTTTAAATTCATAATTAGATATAAAAATTGTATAAAAATAAATGATATATGAAACAACAAAACATACGTGCACACACATAATTGAACAATAGTCAAAGTTTATCATTTCAAGAATTTGTTTTAATCTTTAACAATTCTGTTAAATAACAATATTAATTAGAAGATAAACTATTCTTTTCATAAAAATTAAAAGAAAATATTATCTTTTTTTTAACAATTAAGATATTTTTTTATTAAAAGTTCAATCGTGAAATTTGTTAATGATATACGTAAAATATCTTGAGTACATGAAACTTTTGATTGTGTTTGTTATATTTGCATATACATATAAATATTGACATATATTTCATGTAAAAGCATGTTAATGCAAAAAGTAAAAGCAAAATAAAAGTAATGATACAAAAGCTAGAAAATAAAACAACTAAAAATGAAAAATGCCATAGAGAATATGTAGATATATGTATACGAGGAAGAAAGTTCCGATAGAATTTAATAATACAGTCACAAAATCCATGAACATTTTTCATTATTTATTTCATTAGTTTGCTTTTATTGGAATACGATAAGCTGTATTGGAAGTTCACGTTCTTATCAAACAATCACTTGAAGAACTTTGGAAAAGAATCGTATCCAATTCGCGATTGTTTAAAGCGCTTCTTCGCTTCTGCTTGTATTACTAGAAAATAAGATTATCAAGTTAGGCTGCTTCCTTTCGTCTGCATCCTCGATCAACTCGTTATCGTGAACTAGTCGCTAGCCTAGGGGAATTATCACTATTCGCTTCTCTTTTTCAATATTCTAACTAGTCCGACTTCTTCCGCCAACCGAATCATCTACAACATTTCGCAGCTCGCAAATTACGGCCCGAAATTACCTCCTTCATTAACCCCGTACCTGATTACTCAAGATAACTTGGACGCCCTCCACGGCCGGAAATTTATAACTCGGATTAAATCCACTCTTGAGTCGGTTTTTTATATCAAGTGGATTTTAAACGGAAATAGGAGAATGCCCAATATTTGAATCGCAAATTCTTTTTTTTTTGCTACATGCATTTTTCAAGAAGAAAAAATATGTAATATGTACGTGTATGTATTCAGTGCATGTATGAATGTTAATAAAAGATAAGAATTAGCGCCTCGTGAGATTATTTATATGAGTGAGATTATTTTAATAAACTAATGAAAAATTAAAATTAAAATTAAAATTAATTTTAATAAACTAATGAAAGTGTTATCGTATGCATTATTAATAATCATTATAATATATATGACCAAAAATATGAAATTATTATTTACGAAGATATTAAAAAATATTGAAATAAAGATATTTTACAATATTTATAATAACTTGAAATTATAAAATTTTTATCAAATTAAAAATATATAGATATAAGATTTTTTAAAAAGTAATAAAAATCAAATATAAATCGATGTAAGAAAAACAAAGTACATACATTAAAATAATGCAAAAGCAACATCAGATAAATTAAAAATTAAAGTATATATTATATATGCCAAAAAGTAAATTTTTTGTAAAAATAAAATCAAGACTTTCAATTTTCAATACAAAACAATTTTAAAGATTAATTTAATTCATGACATATTTTTGTTCAGATTATTAAAATTCACTATGCAAAAGCAGCTTTCGTAGTAATATATGAATAATTTTCTTGTAGTAATATATGAATAATTTTTATCACATGGTAATATATAAATAATGTTAATGCGCATACATAAATTTAAGTCATAAAATTTTAAAATTATTTTAAAATAATAATTCTCGCTTTTATGTAAAATTATCTTTTTCTTTCTCAATTATATATCATAATTTTTTATCATTATCCCATTTTACAACTTTAAACATATCCATTTTGAATATATTAGCAGATATACAAAATTCTAACATTATTCAGTATTACTTAAGAAAGGCAGCTAACTGTACTGAAGGAATTCAATTAAAAAGGAGCCAACTGTGTATAGAGAGTTCCTATATATCCCACATATGCAAGAACGGAATAATCCGCACATAGTCGTGCATGCGAAATGGGCACACGTGCAGTGGAATAAGGCGGAGAAAATAAAAGGAGGTGTCAGTTTTATCTTGATTCGCCGGAATTATTAACGTGTTCAAATATGGGATGCTGCACGTTGTGAGGATCAGTTCAAATCCAACCGAGGTAATTATTAAAGATCCAACACAGAGGTGAGCATGACGACATGACCCAGTAACGTGGAAAAACTTACGCAACCCGAGGGAGGACTTACGTGCAACTTTTATAGGGGTTAGAAAATAATTCGTCGGAGTAGTGTGTGCAGTATCGTTATACGGGTGCACAGCGGTCATATTTTTGGAACGAAATTCGGGGAGAGCGCGTTACGACCAAGAATTTTCCAAGAATCGAAAATATGCTTGTTACATGGAACGAGTCGGCTTGTTATTTGTTAGAGATGGTCAAATTAAAAATGTTGGCCAAAATAACAATTTAATTAGCAGCTACGAATGAATGAATGAATGATTAAATACATTACGTTATCGCGGTTCGCCGTATGCGTTTACTGTGTAAACGGTAATCTTGTGTGGAATTTGTTTGTTATGCATGCATGCACACACGTAACATTTCAATTCCAGTATTAAATATTCTCTTTATACACCGAGAGAATAGAAGGATAATGGAGAACTTGATTATGAAATACTAGTAAGTAACAATTCGATAGATTCGTCACAATTAGCACATTTTCAATTAGATATTTTGATAATTGATTATCTTTTAATAATTGTAAAATTCTCATTGGTATTAATATAAAATATCAAAAATCCTCAGTATTTTCTTATATAATTTCTTATGTAAAATGTATAAAATTTATTAATTTCAATGTTTAAGTTATTAAAAAATTGATTTTGTTTTAATTACACAATTTTATACAGCGAAAGATATATAATTAATATAACAGGAGCAACAAATATTTAAAAATAAAATTATTTGAAAGAACATAATTACGCTTCTCGACATATAATATAAATTTATCTAATAGACACCTTCCATAAATCCTTGCAAAAATTTGAACGCGGAGAAGGCGGAAAATGCGGCAGCGTCTTTCACAGCTTACGAGCTTCACGTGAATTAATGTGATCCAGTCTATCCTGATCTACGACAAAATCTTGTTAGTACACCTCAGTGAACAGCTGAATTTCGTGTCTGTAGCGATATTGCGAAGACAAACGTACGCAATTAAATGCTCACGTGAACGATATAACAAGCAGAAATCGGAGGAGCGAGAATATTTTCCGCGGCTCCCAAGTACGTCCTGAATTAATGATAACTAGGCTGATTCTCGAATTCGCAACGAGATTCAATTAATACGCTCGAAAGATTAGTTGGAACTCATCACGGCAAGAGCAAATGGGTATGAGACGAAATCCATGACGATACGAATATATAATATTAAAAATCAAGTTTTTCTGCGGCAAAGAATTTGCGCATTACTGTATATATATATATATATATATATATATATATATATTGCTCCATCTTTATTGCATAGTTAATTAGATATATATTCCTTTAACTTGTAGTTTCAATTTAAAATTTGATCGAATAACTCGATTTTTCCAACACTCTTTCATTTATTTTTTCCATTAAATATCTTGATATTTAATCATCAAATTAAAATTCTGATATTTTTACAAAAATTAATACAAAATTGAGCAAAAATATTGACTTTAGATTCAGCAATATAAAAAAATAATGAATATTAAAATATATACAATGGATATACTTAATTATATGTGATGTAACTAGATGTCAAAAAATGTTTTCTAAATGTAGTATTCTGATGAAAAAGCACAATTGTTATTTTTATATGTAATTGTAATTTATTAATCTATAATTTCTATATATATTTTAGCTATCACGTTTATATGTTTAATATACAAGATAGTAATAAAACACACATTGACTTTTCCTAATTTATAAAATAACCAACACATAAAAACCAACAATATTCCTTTTTAGGGAATATACTGATAACGAATTCCAAGTTATATCTAATGTTCCTGAATATATTCAATATCAAATACTTTGAATCGAATATAAATGTCCGAGTATTCGATAAAATTCTATCATGCATATTTCAATGTGCCGCAAAAAAATTAAATAAAATGTCACTAAAAGAAATCAGACCTCCTCATGTAAATCAGAAAAGTCTCGTCTACCCCGAGATTCAATTAATACAATCCAGCAACGATCCCGACGTCCCCTAGAAATGCAACGTATTGTAACGACGTCCATGTCAGACGGTTTGCAAGGTGTGTCCAATAAAAGTTTCAGGACTTTTGGATAGAACATCACAAATCTTTCACCGAAAGAATGTAACGCGCAGTTACTGATTGCTAAACGTGATGGTAAAAAATCTCAAGAAAGTTTTATAAATATTCTGCCAATAACACTCTCTCTTTCTTTCTCTCTTTCCCTCCCCTCTCTTTCTTTTGCTTTTGTCTACTTTACATAATTACGTAACAGTTTATTTGATTACTACAGCTATTATTTTACATTTGACTACTAATTTGCAATTAATCTTTTTTTAATTTAATATTCATAATTATAAAATTCAGATTCAAAACTTTAATTATTTAAAATAATTTATGTTTTTATAAAATACGTAATATTTTAAATGTTTAATAATATTTTATTAGTCGCAATAAAGAATTAAAAAAGCAATTTCGCACATAAAATATAGCTTTTAATAGTTTTTCCTCATATTATTATGGGCAATTTTTTCTTCATTTTGTTTTTATCTTTAATTATATGTTTCACATTTGTTCGTTTTGGTAATTTTGAATAATGCATTACAAATCCCTTTGTGTAATTTGTAGCTAATAACTTTAATATATATGTCAAGTTTTATTACTTTTTCATGCTAATTTCATCCGCAGTCATAAGACAATGTCTAAAAAAATCAAGCGAATATAAAGAGTAGTTCTCCGAGACAAAGGTTTTTATCACGAAAAGCGATGTCGGAGGGACGTTATCTGTACAATAGCATTCGATATAACGTGACATGAAAAATTAAATAACGATGAATTGAAATTAAATATTGCGGTTTTTACATATACCATATAGAGATTCATTTAACAAAATGGCGATAGATTATAAGTCGCGAATGTAATGTAGACAGTAATTCAACAAAAATTGATCTCGAAACAATTGATTGATATGCGTGCCAATATCAATCTACGTTCTCTGTTCGCTCTGATCTCCCGTTTCATTCATTCGGTCTTAGAACCTAGTTCTCGGACACGCCTGGCACCATCGTGTAATAATTCAAACGCGGTGAGCGCGCCAAGGGATTATTTTAATTAATCGCGGGTGCATCCGAACGACAGTCATAAGGACTCTCGCATAAAAAAAAAAAAAGAGAGAAAAGAAAGGACCAAATCCCGGATTCATGAGTTAAGCGGATTCGGCCGATCGGTCGATCGACGGGCGTGTTCAATTAGCGAAAATGTGGAGAACAGAATTGCGCGTTCGGAAAATTTAACCGCGGAAAATCTCGCGAAATGCGCCGTCTCCTCGAGATAACGATACTCCGATATAGAATAACCCGTCCATCAAACGAGAGCGTCGAAAATAACTTGGAGCTATATACGGTGAATGGAAAGGGTGGCGGAAACCACCCTCTACACCAGGATCTAGTCCGTCATCCACGATCCACGATGTCGATCCGATCAATACGAGACCGCGAAGCGACCACCGAATTCTCGCAGAATCCTCCACCGATCTGTCGTGACGCGGGCGTCGCATGGGACGAGACTTACGTGTCGTGGCACGACATCGCTGGATTGGATCGCTGGATCGCGGTTCCGCGCGCCGTAGCGAACATCGCACGGTGTTGACATCGCGGCGATTAATCTCTTCCGAAATTCCGAGCGTGAGTTTACGTATTCCGTATTCCCAGGTATATATATCCCGCGTCGTGTCCACGTATCACTTTTGGTCCATATCGTTTTTTCACTCCTTTTTTTTTGTTAATCTCCACCCATCTCTTTCTGAAGTATCACAAAGTCCCGATAATATTTCAGAGAGAGATTATCATATCGTTGATTTAATCAGAAGAGGGATAATTCGTTTTGAGGAGATGGGAGAAAAAAAAGCAAGAGAGAGAGAGAGAGAGAGAGACGATTCTTCGAGATACGTCGAGATTTAAGAAAGACGTCGCGAAAAGCGTCGGAGATTGACGCGCGATCGCGGAGCAGGAGCGCGGGTTCGACGTCGATCTCGTCGGGAATTGCACTGGCCGGTTCAGCCCTTTACTTCGAGGCAGAGGGGTGGCGGCGTGAGAGGACGCGTCGCGAGGAAGGGATAAACGGGTAGGAGGGAAAGCAGAGAAAGAGAGAGCGAGTGAGACAGAAAGCGAGAGACAGGGCGCGGTGGGGATGATGTGGGAGGAAAGCCGACGCGGAGGAGAGCAGGGAGAAAGAAGAGGGAGGATGAGGATATATACCTAGCAGCATCCACACAGTGCTGAAAACCACCGTGGTACATTTCGCGGAGCTCCCACGAGGGACGGCGAGCAGTGACGGAGGATAGGGAGACACGCTGGGGAGAATGAAGAGAGAGAGAGCGAAAGTAGGGGAGCGAAATGGGTGGCCTCTAGGAAATTAAAACAAAAAAGCATAGGGAAGCACATCGTGTCGCTGGAAACGGACTGGTACACACGCCGACGCGTTCCACCACGTCTCTCCCTTCGTCTCTTGCTCCCGACCACGATGTCGCGCACCACGTCTGTCCTCTTTCCGTACCCGGTCGCATTGGTTTTCCTTCTTTGTTGGGTGGAGCCACTTTTATTTCCCTTTATCGTTTATTACGAGTGGTACGTTGCCCGCCAACACGCTCGTCGACGAAAAAGACGCGCAAGAAGGTGACAACGCGGGCTTTTTTCTTCCTCTCGTCTACCCCACATCGTCTCTTCAATTTTCTTTGAAAAATTTTCTCCCTTTGCGACTTTGTCGCTTTGCGAAAAATTGAAAATTTAAATTGGATTATTGGGATTATCGGCTGATCGATATAATTGAGTGATATATATTTCCCTCGGTTCGATTATGCCCTTTACCTACCGTATCTCTTACTATGCATTCGCATTTTTTCTGAAATTTTATTCGGTGAATCGATGTACCTTCAAAGGTACGTGCAATCGAAAGTAAAATTCAATTCTCTATCTATTTCCGATGTACTTATACAGGTCTGTAAATGTCTTATAAATGTCTATCTATATCAGCTCTGGAAAACCAACCTGAGATTTCAAATGAAAATTAGTACCAATATAAATACGCTTTTTCTATATCGTTTTCTGATAATTAAATTAATTAACGCTATTTGCTAGAAAAGTGGAAGGTTGTTGGAATTCAATTTCAAACTGCTGCATTAATTTTTCATACCAATTTGTTCTTCCATCAAAATCACGTGTTGATGCGTTAACACGTATACCATTATAATATTAATTATTAAACAATATGTTATATTATTATAGCAGATTAAATTATATTTCAGTCGAATAGGTTTGAAAGAGAGAAAGAGGGAGGCAAAGATTAACACGAAATTCGTGATTATAAAACAATCATAGCGTATAATATAACGCGATGAATGACGATAAGATTCTTTTATACGCATTAAGTACTATAAATATAAAATTGAATAAACTATACTTTAGAACTGCTATCATCATTACGCATAATAACGTCGTGTAAAAGAATACCCCTTTATACCATACATAATCATTAAACAGAGTAAACGAAATATGTTGCCTGCAAAATGTATGCTGTCATGAACCTCCAGAATACGCATTACTTCATTTATATCATTTCACCATTTTGTTGAAACTTTATATATATATACATAAGTTTCTTCCCATTGTCTTCCCATCTTGCCGACCAACTTTCCAACCGAAGCAGGAAGTTCAAGGTGGGAAATTCGTTCGCTCGAGTGGAGCTGTCTTTACTCATACGTCTTTGAGAATTTTCTCGCGCGCTTCATATTGCAGGAAGAATTTCACGCGCGTGAGATAAATCGAGTTTTGGAACGCGAGTAAAAAGAACGAAGAAGGGAGACGAGGGAGAAGAAATAGAAGGGGACAGGATCTTATTGAGGGTAGGGTGTGTGCTTAGTGGACGAGCGCGATTTATCCGCTATTTCTCACGAGATTTATCTATCCATTCTTTAATCCTTCGCCTGCCGCGCGCTGAACGACGAGGAACTTCCGCCAATATCTTTTTTTAACCGACTTCCAACTATTTTTTCCGCGCCACCCTTTGTGCCAGACGAGGGTTTTTCGCGCGCGCGTTTGCGATAAATCGAAGTTGCGAGGGTGTGGAAACGAAAGAAAACGGGGAGAAAGGAAAAACTGGATCGTCTTATTGCGGACGTATAAACGCTCGCGGAACGTGCGCGACTCTTCCGCCATTTCTCGCGAGACTTTTCTATCGCCTCTTTAATTCTTTCACCGACTGCGGGGGATAAAATCGAATCGCGCGCACATACGAGCTAACCAGACGGATTTTATCGCGGGACACACGCTTCAACGAAGATTTTGTGCGTGCCGTAAACCGAGCTTAATCCATTCATGCATGCTTTCGCGAGATGGTACCATTTGATATTTTTTCGGGTATAATACAGAGACGATGTGCGAGAAAAATTAAATTTCCACAAATTATTTTAATATATATATATATATATATCTAGTTATTTTTAATCTCGTACAATGTTGTAATAATGGTAAAACTAATCAGAAATGATAATATAAAATAATGTAGAAAGAATAAACGCGAGACCTTGGTATCATATTTTTCGAAAATTGTGTGTAATATTAAAGAATAAAGCTTTTATTATCCTGACATTTAGTAGGAAATTTCAGTTATATGCAAACTAATCGATATGCTTTTATAAATTTCTCGAAGAGAATGCCATGTTGAGGATGGATTGAAGTTCGTGTAGACGAGAAAAGAGCTGGTCACGGACAGGCAAGTGCGGAACAATTCCCATCGTCCTCCTTTTATCGGTCGATCTACCCTCGCTTTAATTCCACCGGTACAACAGCGCGCCCTGCGATGAGATGAGAATCTTCTATTTACACACACACACACACACACACGCATCACGTTTGACTTTTTATTTTTACATCAAAAATTTCTTCCGTCCTTTGTATCGTCACATAGGATTTTGCGCTCGCGCGCAAGATAAGAAGCCTTAGTCTGGCTTATATGGACAGAGAGAGAAGGGTGCTTCTCTTATTGGAGAATAGGTACTTAGTGGACGGGTGCAGATTTATCCGTTCTTCCTACCGAGATTTATCCGTCCTTTCTTTAACAACCCCCGTTCCTATCTCATCCGTTAGCTCCTTCATCGAAGAGCGCAATACATCAGGCGCGATAAGTACGCGATCCGATAATAATAAGTTCCTGCAATTCCAACGAGAAAAGTTGATTCGAAATCGCAGATCTCTGTACCGTGTGTATCTCATTAATGTTCCGGCAACGTTCAACCCTCGTAATCCAAAACGCGCGAGATAGACTCCTCGCGAGAATGGCGCACAGGTGTTTCCCGCAATTTTATTCCGGCAGAATGTTTTAAATTCTCGCTAAATTACCAGACCATAAATTTCACGTCACATACGGGTACCAACCGCTCGTTGACTCCTTCAACCCCCAACTATTCTACCAGAGGATGCTAAATCTTTGTCGGATCGTCTAAAAGTTTCACAAGTGGAGCTAATCATCTATGGAAAAATCTATATCTATCAAATCTTGCGCAAAGTTCAAAATTATCAAACATTCTTCCCAAAGATTCGAAAGTTTGCTCAAAACAACGTTTTAAACGGAAGTTTCTTTCTACGTACTTCAATAAGTTGAGATGAGCGTTCCTTCTCTTTACGCTCTTACAATATTCTCTTGAAACTTTATAAAACGTAACGATTCTTAATCTTTTCAAACTTCGTCGGCGTCAGTTAATTTCTTCTTGTCACATACATATGCTCACAGAAAATATAAAAAATCTGAGAATTTACAAACGTGACTTGTGTATGTGTATATAAACAAATTAGAAATATGTCGTAAATTAATGTTCTTCTTTAAATAAATTGTTTACAAAGTAGAACGTTCGTAACAGATTCTTATAATTTCTTTTCGCGAATCGTTCTTACAAATATAATTTATAAGAAATACGGAAACGAAAGGAAAGAAAATTATTAAGTAATATAACGCTGAAAGTTAACGGGAAATTTGCGTTTGTGCAATTTTCTTTTCTCAAGTTTACCGATCCAGCGGATATTCATGCGTAACGATAGAGGTATACATCCGCAGAGACATTGACTCCAATAAATTTTCCTCTCGCTGCTACCGGTTGTCTGCTTCTTAGTAACGTAAGGCCTGACCCGCGGACTTCGAGATAAAAGTCGATCCGTAAGTGCGAAGGCGAGCAAACACTTCGCTCATCGTCCGTAGATTTATCATTTTGCTCAGCGGACCGACGTGAATCGTGCCGGGTTTACCGAGCAGACAGAGAGTAAGAATGAAAGGGGTGAGTCGACGTAGCAGAAGGGGATGTGTATAGTCAAGGGTAGACTGTGAAAAAGAAAAAGCGAATATGTGCACGTGGAGAACCTGTATAAAACCTATATGGATATACGTGGAGTGGAACAGGACACGACTTATCGACTTGTCATCCGGAAACAGGAAGAGAAAAAGAGACAGAGCGAGAGAGAGAGAGAGAGAGAAAGAGGAAGAAAATGAGAAAGAAAAGGAAGGAGAAAATGTAAGATTAATGATAAGCCGTCGACGATTTAAATTCCATGATAATAGGATAGCGTGGGGATATTTGAAGGATAACTTGAAAGACACGTTCCTGGATATCCAACGCAGGCGCCGGTGCACCGCCCCACCCAGTTGCAGGAATCCTCACCGACACGACGATGTGCACGTGGACATGCGTTGTTGTCAGGGGAGGCCAACACTATCGCGAGGGTAAAAGTGCGAGAGTTTTGCACCGTATTCGCTCCGTTTTATTACTGTTGCTTTTTTTCTTGCCGAGGGGTGAGCCCACACTTATATGTTTTGTTTCAATTTTTTGCAATCTAGGGAAGAGCTGCACAATATCGTGAAATATTGTCGAGTAATATTGATTCGCGGCATCGACGGTGCACATCGATTGATTGAGAAAATTAAACGTAGAGAAGAAAATTGTTGTGTGGCGCCATAAGGTCGTGGCAAGAAAAACGCTTCTCTCTG